TACCAAGGGCTCAAGTAGAGAGAAAATGTTTTGAAAAGGATGATGGCAACATAAGTACAAATGTGCTTGACACAATGTATGCATGGATTGTTATGAGAGCTGTAAGAAACCCTAATTAAATTATTTAAAAATATATAATTTAGCAAGATAAAAAAATTAAATACAAAAGTCCAAAAATGACCCACACTGCTATTTACAAAAGGGTAAATACATGAACATCTTGGGGGCTGTAAGAGAGAGCGGAGGAAATGGAAGAACAGGAAATATAGGGTAAGTAAGTATTGGATATTTAGTGTATGAACAATGCTAATGATCCTTTTGTCAAGGTAGCAATGATATTAATCTCTCAGGATATTAATATCCTGGTATCAATGATATTAATCTCTCAGGATATTTCAATCAATGGAAATCTCACCTCTGGGCACAAATAAATTGACTAAAATAGGGCTCCCAGCTAAAAACAGGGAAACCATTATCGAAGGGCGACGGTTGACATGTCGAATGACAAAATAACTCAGCACTCTGATTGGGAAATCCACAGCCGCCAGCAGAATTTGACTCAGAAACAGGTTAGTCCCCAAATTCTCCAAATCCAGAAGTAGGCCAATAAGACTTAAAATTGTTGAAAACCTGTGTGAGAAAGTAGAGGAAAATAATAAGTCATCCACTAAACATTTATTAAGGAAGTACATGGAGAAGGGAACAATACATGTCCACACAAATGTGTTCAAGAGTTTTAATTTTATTAAATAATTATTAATGATGCCCAAATATATTGCTTTGGAAAATAATAATAATGCTGATCATATCCCAAATGATTTTAGCATACTTAAGTACTATAATGTACTTAAATATTATAATGTTCAATGGTGGTCAAATATTGGTTTAAGTTTTATGAAATACAATCCAAGGAGTATGTTGTCAATCATTATTTAATGTGAATGGGATTAATCATTTCATTGGAAACCCATCTTTCCCTTTTCTTCCACTTACTAAAATATTGTCCTGATTCCATCTGTT